TTCTTAATGTTATTGTTTATAGCACAGGGCTTTACTTTTTTGGTGCTCCACTTCATGTTTTCTTTCATACTGTGTTGTGAGGTTGAAGGCACGAAGAAGCCCTGCCTAGCCAGGCACAGTGAAGATCTCCCCTGCTCTTCTCAAGTTTTACAGCTTGGTTCTCACATCTAAGTTTAAGTATGAGGAGAGGATTCAAGAGTTGATAGAAAAGAAATAAGGTCAGTAGATTCTACGTCTGCTATTGCTGTGTTGTCAGCAGGCACAGCCTTGTCGTGGCCAGTCTGACAACCAGGGATGGTTGCTGTTTCAGCTGAGTTCTCCTTGGTTTTCATCTTCCTGCTAAACAGTCCCAGCTGGTACCCCCACTCAGCTACTAGCCCATGTTAGTTTAGTTACTACCTAGTTTCTCTCTTCCTATCAGCAATTCTGTGAGGCACTGCCTTACATTCTGATTCAATTTTACGCCAGGCCTCTTTCCAGCAAGGTATTTGTCCATCTTTGCAGCTTGCTCTAACCCCAAGGAGGCTCTTCTTTGTCTGCTGGTCAACTGTTTTGTTTGTTGTCATTTGTATTATTGAACCCGGCTAGTTTTATATCAACTTGCTTCAGAGCTGAAGCCCTTTTGGGAGAGAAGACCTTATAACTAAGAAAATGTCCCCACCATCTTGGCCAATGGGTGTCAATAGGCAGTGGTGCATTTTCTTGGTGTATTATTGGTGCGGAAGTGCCCAACTCACTGTGGGCAGTGCCACCCCTGGGCTGCTGGGCCTGGGCACTATAAGAGAGCAGGCAGGAAAGTTAGCTCAGGAGTTAAGAGAAAGTACTGCTCTTAGAGAAGACCTGAGTTTGGTTCCCAGTATCCACATCCAGCCACTTACAACTGCCTGGTACTTCTGCTGCAAATCCAATACCTCTGAGGGTACTGTACTCATATGCACAAACCCATACCCATATACATATAAAAGTAAAATATAAAAGAAGACTAAAGGGAGAAGGAAAGAAATTAAAAACAAGGAAGGAAGCAAGCAGGCTGAGCAAGCCATTAGAAACAACCCAGTAAGCTGTTTCTGCTTAAGTTCCTGCCCTGACTTTCCTGGATGACAGATTAAAAGCTGTAAAATGAAATAAGCTCTTTCTTCTCCTTGTTATTTTTGGTCATGGTGTTTATCACAGAAGTAGAAACTATAAACAGTTCCTCTAAAGTGGCTATCCCAGAGATCTCCGTTGTTTCCTACAAAGTCTTAGGCATGAGCCCTTCATACTCTTTCCCAAATACAGTCAGTCCGTTAGGCAGCCGACCAGAACTTTCAGCAAAACTCCTGCCTTGGATTTAGAAATGAGAACAGTGGATCACCTTCTGTGAAGATGTACAAATGAAACATTCTGTTGTTACTGTAGTCCATGGTCTTCACAGCATGACCCTCAGGGATATAACACATTTTGATACTTCATAATCCTCCTCCTCTTTCTCTTTCAAGACAGGGTCTCACTATGTAGCCTAGGCTATTTGGGGGGGGGAGATCAGGGGGGTGTTCGAGACAGGATTTCTCTGTGTAACAGCCCTGACTGTCCTAGAATTCACTTTGTAGACCAGGCTGGCCTCGAACTCACAGAGATCCTCCTGCCTCTGCCTCCCGAGTGCTGGAACTGCCTGGCATACCTAGGCTATTCTTAAATGCTCAACCCTTCTGCCTCAGCCTACTGAGCTTTGGGACTACAGGTGTAATCTCAGATGTCATGAGAAAATACTCGGTATTCTGTGTCATCATTATCCTGATGAGAAAGCAAATGTACCTAGGTTCTGGGAACGTCCCTAAGTCTAACCACAGTTGCTGCCTGTGATAATCAAGGTGATTACCATCTTCTTCTTGTTTTGCTTATTTGTTTGTTTTGTTTTCTAAGACAGGGTTTATCTGTGTAATAGCTCTGGCTGGCCTCAGTGTCAAAGAGATCTGTCTGTCTCTGCTTCCCAAGTAGTGGGATTAAAGGTGTGTGCCACCACCAACCTGCTTGGATTACCACCTTCTTAAAATATGTTAATAGTAATTTTTTTTATTAGTTTTCATCACAGTGAATCAAAATACTGCTTGTCAAATTGGAAACTAGAAAACCCAGGACCTAGAGAGCTTGTTAGAGTTCAGACTGACAAGATGGGTCTGGGGTTGCCAGGTCTGCATTTCTAACCAGGTCTCAGTGCCAGACATGTAAGGGATCCAAAGGTGGTCCTCGGTGAGGAGGGTTCAACACCACATGTTGACCTATGACATGATACCTTTTCATTTAGAAGTACCACGGAGTAGTTTGCCTCAAAACTGTATGTGCCCGGGGGCTGGAGGGATGGCTCATTGGTTAAGTGTACTGGCTGTTCTTTCAAAGGTCCTGAGTTCAATTCCCAGCAACCGCATGGTAGTTTGCAACCATCTGTAATGAAATCTGGTGCCCTCTTCTGGCATGCAGGCAGAACACTGTATACATAATAAATAAGTCTTTAAAAAGAAAAAAAAATGTATGTACCCAAGGATGAATTAAAATGCCAATTCCTCCTGCATCCACCTCCCAAGTGCTAGGATTATATATGTACTTACTGTCACTGAGCTATGTGCTTAAAATGGTTAAAACAGAAAATTTTGTTATGTGTTTTTTACAATACAGGAAGGCAGGAAAGTGAATCAAGACTGGTGAAATCAAAGTGTGTATAAATATATAATCTCACACACAAAAGCACCTTAAGAAATCTAAACAAGAGAAGGCATAGTCCTCAGTAAAGGGGAGAAAGAAAACAGAGAAGGAAAAGAAAGGGATAAAAAGTCTAGTCTCTAGTATTTCTGAACTAGACAGAAGCATCACATTTGCTAGAAAAATCCAGCATCTTGAGAGGTCCCCACCCTTTGCAACCATCATCCTCAGTTTTGGAACTGTACTAAGATGTGGGGATGGAGTAGGAGCTCTCAGAATTTCATGGACTGATGGGTCCTTCCCAACAGGACAGAGCCAAAGCCTATACCTTGAACAATAAGCTACGGAAGCAACTGGCAGAATTCCGGGCTCCCCAGGTAATGATGTACGTCAAGGAGAAGATCTTGAATGGGGATCTGGAGAAGACCATCAAGATGTGGGAGAGGAAGGTGGAGATCGCAGAGGTGAGCCTCTTATCCCCAGTGTAAGATCGCCAGGTATCTCAAGTCATCAACATGTTTCTTCAGGAATGTGTTTAGTGGGCTGAGATGATAGGGATGTTGGACATGTTGTGTTCATGAGAAATCTCTGCAGTTGTTTAAACTGTTCAGCCAAAATGAACGAACACTGGAATTTTTTTTTTCTAAGTTCCCACTTTTTTTGAGACATGGTTTCTCTGTGTAGTCCTAGCTGAGTTGGAACTCAACTCTGTAGACCAGGCTGACCTTGAACTCAGAGATCCATCTGCCTCTGCCTCCTGAATGCTGAGATTAAAGATGTGCACCACCATCATAAGCTCCCACTTTCAGTGATTAAGGATAGTGTGCTTTAGGGTCAGGGAGAGATTCTTGCCACACAAGTGTATTTATTGCTTGTTTCCACAATGAATTCTAGAATCTTGTGAATCCCTCCATACCATGGGTATTTAGTAACTGCTGCTTCTTATATGGAGAACACAGTGTTTAAGAAAATGAGAAGCCACACACATGGTTGTGTACACCTTTAGTCCCAATACTTGGAGGCAGAGGCAGGCCAATCTGTGTTTGAGGCCAGGTCTCTATAGAGAGTTTCAAGCTACTCGAAACTACATAGGGAGGCCCTATTTCAGAGAGATGGGTGGGGGGAGATAATGGATTTTAATGGCTCTCAGAATCCAAGTCCATGATTTACATGGTTGCTATAGGGCTCTGTGTTTATATCTAAGCCTGTAGACTTGAAATCGGTGGTATGCACCTAGATCTCATGGTAGCCTTCACACTTAGGGTGCCATTAGTGCAGCTTAAAAACCACATGAGCTGCTGGGGAAACAAGGATCTTTCTACATCTAGAACCCAGTTCCATTTTCCTGAACTAGTCACTTGGTGACAGGGAGGACATGAGGGCCCTAACTTGGCATATATCATACCTGGAACTGAGCAGAGAATTCAGCAGGGACATGTACCATCTCAATTCTTTGGACAAAAACACACTCTTTAAAACAATTTTTTTTTGGGTGGGGGAGGGAGACCGGGTCCCATGTATCCCAGTCTATTCTTCAGCTTAATACGTAGCTGAGGATAGCCTTGAACTACTGATCTCCTTCCCTCACCTCCTAAGTTCACCACCATTTCAATGTATATAGGGAGTTGTGGATCAGACCCAGGGCTGTGAGCATGCCAGGCATGCACTATACCAACAGAGCTACATCCCCAGCCCTAGCGAGATCCTTAGAGTATCCATTGCTCTATGATGATGTCTGCCTGCAGGGTGAACCACAGGACTGTAGCCTCTCATGGGGACATCTGCATAGTCGCCGTTTATAGATGGCAGTGGCCTACAGCACAGGTGCACACTGTTTTTCCCAAGTAATCTTCTCCCCTCTCCCCCTTTTGTTTTGTAGATGTCTTTAAAGGGCTATCGAAAAGCCTGGAATAAAATGAAAACATCAGATGAGCAGCTACAGACAATCAGGCCCCCTGGGAAATAGCCAGGAGCAGCTCATACATAGCATGTAGACTGAGAAATGACCTATTAAAGTACTCTAGTGTTTTCCAATAGTGGGGTTCTCTCATTGTTTCCTGTGCCCAACTAGTACACCCCCCCACTACCAGGTGCCATCTAGATGGTCACCAGCAGGGCCACACCCACCCATGGGAATATCTTCCCAGCCTGGCCCCTGACACCATTAACTCTGAAAGAACCACAGGGCACTCTAATGGTTTGACACTTGTTAGCCCACATTTAGTTCACAAGCATAAATCAAAGTGACCTTCCCACATACGGAGTGGGACAGAGGAGGGAGAGCCAGCCCGGTGCTGCTGTGGGCCTGCCCATGAACGCCCAGGTGGCACCTATCAAGAGCAGACACCTATCAAGAACAGTACAGTAGATGCCTAGCACCTTGCACTCTGAGCTTCTTGTCTGTGGGGAAGGTTAGCTGCTAGCTAGACAAGAAAACAAGCACAAGGGACATCAAGATCATTTCTTGGGGCCAATGCAGCCTGTTCTGGCCAGCCACAGCCCCACCTTCCCCCGCCTCCCCACCATAGTAGTCGTAGTACATAGGTTGAACAGCCACCTTCGAAGGCCAGCCTGCTTCCTGAAGACCATTTACCCTGAAGTTATGCCCACCATCTGTTGGCTGGTCGTACAGAGTGGACATTTTTTGTCCTTGGGAATAGGATCGGGGCCATTCAGCATGTCCATGTACAGAATACATGTTCTTTGTCAGAGCGATATTTGATTCGTCAAAGAGGAACTCGGGGACCAACTTCTCCCAGGGGTTGATCGAGGACAGGGGAGGGCCAGCCCTCCTCGCCTTGGCCAAGATCCAGTCACTGTAGTCTTCCACACTGGCATACAGAAACAGGCCAGGGCACGAGTCGCCTCCATAGGTCAGGATTCCTCGGAGGACCCAGAGATCCTGCCTGTTCAGTTGGCACATCATGGGGTTTCCTGGTTCTCCCTGCAATAAAGGACAGCGGGTCTTAGGTCTGAGAAAACCTTCCTTCCCAGTACATTCTTGTGCCAGTGTCTGTTTTCGGTTTTACATTGATTCTCTCCGGAAACAGGCAAATTACAGGCTACCATTTCAAATCTAGACAGCCATCACCAACTACAACATGGTGGCACAACTCTCTCCTCTCCCCCTCTCCCTCTGTCTTGCTTGCTGGTTGGAGTCTGGATTTCACATAACCTCCTCACTATGTGGCTACAGATGATCTTGAACTCTGAGCCCCATGACTCCATCTCCTCATGCTTGGAGTACAGGCATGCTAGCACAACTGGTTTATAATGCAGAGCTGGGGATCAAATCCCTGGAGCCAGGGCTCTTTATTCAAGGCAAGCACTTCCCCGGCCCAATTTTTCTTTGTATTATGCAAGTTATTTGTGGCCTTGGCTCCTAGATTGCCTGTAGCTTTCTGGCTCATTTTTCCCTGTCTTGGCTTTTGCTGGTACTCTGCTCATTTTTCTTTCTTTCCAAGGAAGAGCTGCTTGGAGGGGAAGGAAGGCCAGAGTTCCTCAGGAACTGGGACTGTCCTGGGTCTACAGCTTCCTAATCCATGCCCCAGCAGCTAGTTACTCCTGTTCACCAGCCCTGCCATGCTGTAGCCTTCCCCTTTCCTGAATTAGTAGTCCAATGGGGCTCAGGTGTTCTGCCGCACACACCTTAACTTGTGCAAGGCTTAGCATACTGAGTTGGATTTGTGACCAAGGCAGGTGGCCTGGTTCTAATGCAATGTGGAGATAGGCTAGTGCCCGTGACACATGCTGGGCACACAGTATACACTCAGGCAAGAATTAGCTATGACCATTGTGGGGGCTTCAAAAGGCTGTAAGTTTTCTGTACGAAGTTGAGGGAATAGGGACAGTCCCAAGACAACTACTAAGTTTCATTTATCCCACCCCAGGCCCCTTCTAGTGCAAGTGCCAAACCTCCATTCTTACCTCATGGTCCATCTGGGTCAGAGATAGGGGAAAGACTATTTACCATCCTTGACTGTATGGCCCCCTTAACTGGAAAAGCCAGGCAAGCAGCCAATGATATGTTGCTCTTGCTGTTTGGACTGAGTGAGCAGTGAGCAGGGTGGCAACTGATAACAGCAAGCAGTTTGACCAAGCTCAAGGATGAGAAGCAGAGAGGCAAAGGTTGACCTTATCAGCCCTTTCTCATGTGAGGCCTGGGTAATGGCCTGAGTCTCCTCCCAATCTACTTTCCTTTGCTTAGGAAGTGTGGCCAGAGCAGACGGGAGGGTGAATGGTAGAAGGAGCGACTGAAAGCAGGGCAGAGCTGAGACACATACATTCTGCAAAGACACTGTCATGCCTGGGGAGCCTTTGATTCTCAAAGTCAGTTGATGGGCAACACGTTCTGTACAATATTCTGTGTTGCTCACTCCAGGGAAGGGGCAGTATAGCATCCTTGTATTTCCTTTTTTTTTTTTTTTTTTTTCATAGTCTGCTGGATGGGATCTAGGACACACAGCTCGATGGCTCTGACACATAGTAGTGGGTACAGACAGATGACCCTGGCTATCGTATGGTTTTGCTGCTAACCCCGGGCACAGAATTAGCTAGGGTTTTTCCTTTTGTTTTTCCCCTTCTTCCCACCTAGTGGAACCATGGTTTCTGATGTAAAAGGAACAGAGGCCACCGGCCCAGGGTCCTTGAGGCAGTTCTATTTAACCTCTTGGGGTTAGGGCAGCTACCACACAGGGGCCTCTTTCACTTAGTGGTCGTCCCCCTTGACATCCCACTAAACTAAGTGTTATAGGAACTCTGAAAGTTAGGGGGGGAGTGAAGAATAGCTCTGCTGGGTCCATGGGGACCCATTAGTCAGATTCTGAAGCCAGAAGCTTCTTCTGTATCTGAGAAGTGTTGTGTTCAAGACCCAGACACCAGGTCCCATTTCCAGGAGAGTAAAGCATTCCAAATACCAAAGTCACTAACAGATGTTTCATGAGCAGAATTCAGTTCAAAAGCTAAGGCTAGTGGGGTGGCTCGGGGGATAAAGTACATACTGAACAAGAGTGAGGGCCAGAGCTTGGGTATTGAGAGTCCATGTGGTCTCAGGAGCAGGGTAGGACACATGGTGGAGTAGGCTAACCAGACTGGTTGTATCAAATGGTCACACTGTAGGTCTCTGCCAAGTGTTATTCCTTCCAGAGACATGACTCCCAAGGCACTGCCTTCATCCCCTTTCGGTAAGAAAGGGCTCTCAGGACCCCTTGGTGCAGGCAATGATCACTTTGAAGATTTAGCGTCTACTGTATCAAGTTCTTACCAGGCAAACGTTGGATTCCTTATTTGTGTGACTGGCACATTCTGTTTTCCGGTCTCTATGTAAAGGACACAGGCCAATGTCTTTCACGGAGATTCTCCTCAGGATACTCATTGTCATGTGATTTCCTGTCTGGACCATGCAACAGAGAGCCCAAGAATTACTAACAAGAAGGCAGTCCTGGTCAAAACAACAGCAACTCACATATCCAAACAGGAATAAACAGGAAGTGTTCCTACACATCCCTTCTACCCACAGGAATCAGAAGTGGTGTCTGAGTTTTTACTGAAAACTATCTTTGCTTTGAATTTAAAAGCTGTAAACTTTATGGCATGGGTGGCTTACACCTTTGATCCCAGCACTCGGGAGACAGAGACAGGAGGATCTCTGTGAGTTTGAGGCCAGTCTGGTCTACAGAGCAAGTTCCAAGATAGTCAAGGCTACACAGAGAAACTGTGTCAAAAACAAAACAAAACAACCCCCAAAAAACAACAAAAAACAAAAACAAAACAAAAAGCCAGAACAAAACAAAAATCTGTAAACAGGCAGAGAACACATCACCCTTCCTTCACACTTAAAGGACATGCATTTTCTTGTTTCATTTTTATCCAAGAAGGACGGAAAATTAGCGGCTTAGGTAAGTACACTCAGCTCTAGTCCCCTTACTCCTCCCAGCACTTGGTGAGGCAGTATGTGGCCTATTTACTTCTTGGGTATAGAGCTAAAAAGAAAAAAGGACCCGTGAAATATAGTACAAAGAAAGCCCAGAAAGGTAAACACTAGGAATCAACTCTAGAACCTTAAGCATCTTGAATGATTAAGACAGGCCCTAGGGAGGTCCCTCTGAGTCACCCCCACCGCCAGCACACACACAGCCTCCTCTAGGAGAAGGAATGCATTAACTGCAGACGTGGGATTCCATCCTGCCACCCAGCAGTTCTTCAAGGCTAGTGGTTTATGTAGCTTTTTGCCCAGGAAGCAGATGGCCTGGACCATGTCGTCGAAACGTATGGCAGATTCTGTCTTCACGAGGGCTATGTTGTTGCTCATGGAATTGTTATTAAAGTTATCATGGAGGATGATGGTGTTGACTGAGTACTCTGTGTGATCAATCTTTCTGGGATCCATGTTCGCTATACCGACAACAGCAATGACCTTCTTCCTAGAGAGAAAGACAACAAGGGGATGTTGAGAAGTCAAGGCAGCTAGGAAGCCTCACACTTCGCTCATTTCTCATTTTTTTTATGTTTTTTTTTTTTTTTTATTTTCAACCTGGCATGCTCATCCAACCCAATACCTGAGTATTTTGTCTTTGTTTTTAGTGTGTGATTGTGTGTGTGTGTGCATGTCACATGTGCCTGCTAAGGCCAGAACATACTGGATTCCTTGGAGTTGGAAGTTACTAATGGTTGTAGCTACTTGATGTTGGTGCTGGGAACTAAACTTAGAGTCTCTAGAAGAGATAACCAACCACTTGCGGGGGGTGCTGGAGGTAAGGCCCACTCCATGAGATAGAAGCCATACCTGATACAAAGTCATCAAGAACCTGACACTAGATAGGTCATGGGCATAGGGAGAAATCTAATATGATTGTTATGCTAAAGGAACACAGCAATAAAATGACTCCTTTGATCAACACACATCAAGACAGAGACCCACAACTGGACTTAGGAACACTCAGGCCTAAATGGGACATATTTATTAAACCCCTCCTCTCAAGGCTCAGGACCTATGAAGAAGAGGAGGCATCAAGATTTTAAGAGCCAAAGGTAATGGATGGACGACTCCAATGTCTTCCAGATACAACAGGACAGAAGTGCATATGAAGTCAACAGAGACTGTGGCAGCAAAACACAAGGCTTGCACAGGTTCCAGCCTACAGGGTCCCAGCACTGAGGGGGAAGTGTACACACAAAGTCCAAGGTTAGAATGCCAGCAAGCTCATTTCCTTCTGGACTTACAGGTAGCAGCCCTAACCAAGAAGCTAATTGTAATTGATCGCTGCTGGCAAAGGGAAAATCAGTATATCAACCACATTCTAGGGAAGGCCCCATGCCCAGGAGCAGTTGGCCAACACAAAACCAACTCAGTGATATTTTTGTGGACTTTAAGTTTTATTTTGTTTTGTTTGGCATATTTTTATCTCATTGATCTTTTGCTTATTTGTTTTGAGTTTTGTTTTTAAAAGAGAAAAAGAACAAAGTTGAGTAGGTAGAGAGGTGGAGAGGATTTTGAAGAGGGGGAAACATAGTTAAAATATATTTTATGAAAAATACTTAATTTAAAAAAATAAATAAAAAAGAAAATGCCCACAAAGCTATTATTTTCTAGGCACACTAAAAGAATAATACATTTAAAAATACATAAACTAAGTATTAAAAAATTTAGCAGCCACTGAATATTCTATTGGGTGTTTACATTATAATTTCTTTAGCTAATTAAAGTGATTATTCTTCCAGGTTGGGGAAATGGTTCAGTGGATAAAGCACTCACTATGCAGGTATGAGGACCAGAGTTTGGATCCCTAGCACCCACATGAAAGCCAAGTGGCCTGCCTACAATTCTAACACTCAGAAGGCAGAGAGAGCCAGCTCTGGCTATCAGTGAGAAACCCTAATTCAGTAAAGTGGAAAGCAATGGAGGAAGATACCCCATCTAGCACACACGCTTGCACACACATGTGCACATTACACATGTGTATGCAAAACCATCACGGGCTTTATCTTTCACATCTACCATAGTAGAAATTAATCCAGAAAAGGTTAAAGCACAAGCACACACAAATTAATGCATACGTTTGGCCATCAGAGTGACAACATCACAAAGCTGGTACTCTATTCTTTCTCCAGCTACATAACACATTCTATATTCTCTTACATACAGTGTGCTCAAGAAACTATATTATAATTTGCTTATCTGTGGTAACTAGATGTTCGCTTTTATTTGGCTGGTTGCCTGTTTTGTTTGTGTCTTATATAGCTCAGGCTGGCTTCAGACTCAGCATGAAGCTAAGGATGAAGAAACTTAAACTCTTGCTTCTCCTGCTTCCACCTTCCAAGTGTTGGGATCACAGGTCTATGCTACAATCCCCCTTGGAAGTTTACTTTCTTTCTGGAATTTTCTGTGTAATTAGCCATTCAGTGAGCAACTTTGTGTAGGAAATATTTTTCCCCAGAGGTTGAAATTATCTCCTTGCTGCCGATTCTCAAAAGTTAGAGTCGTTGGACTAGAAGTGTTCTACAGTTTATGAAAATATTTTAGAATGTTTGTCAAATATTTTCCTTAAGCATATTTATGAGTTTTTCTTATTTGTGAGAATTTGAGCTTATGGTATGTAATCTGGGGAACACAAACAAGCACATTTGGAGGATAGAAGTTAGTGTTCTGAGAGCCCAGAGAAAAGCATTCTGGAAGCATCCTGATCTCCTTTGGCTTTTCCCTGTGGCCTAAGGTGTCCTGCTGACTTTCTTACCTTATCCTGGAAGGACATCTGGTGGGTAGAATTAAAGAATCCGCATCATGCTTTCCACTGGTGTCACCATAGTAAAGTTCCATGAGCCACTGGAGACCTCAGGACCTTGGCTCAGGTGACTATACCAGGTGTCTACCCTGCTGACCCCACCAGTCCTGGTCCCTGCAGAGCACCCCGCCCAACCCTTCCCCTGGGGAGCAGGAACCTGTGCTGGAGCTCGGAGGCGGTGCTGAGGATCCAGAACTCGCTGAGGATGCAGCCGAATGCCAGGTGGGTGTATTCTGGGTCCTGTAAGGATACCACCCAGGGGAACTCGTTGCTGCCCACGAGGGTCTCCTTGGGGTTGTCCATGATGTTGGCTTTCTGGATGCCGCAAACTGCAGAGGGAGTATAGGCCTCACTGTGTGGCAAGGAGCCGGCCCACTGTGGGCACCGACATTCCCCAAGCACTTGGGACTCCTGTTTTGCAGACTCTGTTTTGCTTGGGGCTCTGACTCTACCACCCTCATGCTTTCTTTGTTCATGCCAGGAGACCTTCCACATAAAAGACGCTTGCTAGCATCTCTGAACCCTTTAAAAGTCTTACTGGACCTTGCTATTGACACTCTTCTGCCGGGCACAGCACTACTTCCTAGGCCTTGTCTGGCAATTTTTCATAAATCAGGTGGCAACAGAACCTGCAAGCATCTTGTCTAGGCAAGATGCTTTTTCCCTTTCTTCAGGGAAAAGCTGTTGCTTGCTTTCCCAACTCTCCTGTTTCAAGTGTGTGGGGCAGTTTTACAGCTTTGTGATGTCGTCACTCTGATGGCCAAATGTATGCATGAATTTGTATATTCTTGTACTCTAATCTTTCTAGTTTAATTTCTATTATGGTAGATGTGAACGATAAAGCCTGTGATGGTTAGCTTTAATTATAAACTTGATACACCCTAAAATCACTTAGGAAGAGAGTTTTGTTTTTGTTTGCTTTTTGTTTTTGGTTTTGGTTTTTGTTGTTGTTGTTGTTTTTGTTTTTTGAGATGGAGCTTTGGAAGCTGTCCTGGAACTAGCTCTTGTAGACCAGGCTGGCCTCGAACTCACAGAGATCTGCCTGGCTCTGCCTCCCAAGTGCTGGGATTAAAGGCATGAGCCACCAACGCACAGCATTTGTTTTTTGTTTTTTAATGATTTTTTGACTTTATATGCATTGCTGTTTTGCTTGCATGTTTGTCTGTGTGAGTGTTGGATTCCCCTGGAACTGAAAATACAGACAATTGTGAGCTGCCATGTGGGTGCTGGGAATTGAACCCCAGCTCTTTAGAAGAGCAGCCAGTGCTCTTAGCCACTAAGCCATCTCTCCAACCCTGGGAAAGGAGTCTTAATGAAGAATTATCTAGTTAAGGTTGAACTGAGAGCATGTCTGTTGAGGACTGCCTTAATTGCTAATTGATAGAAGAACCCACCCCTTTTGGACACAGTAACTGTGCAAGAGTAAAGATGCCCCAGGGGTGATCGCCTAGACCTTTAATTCCAGCACTCAGGAGGCAGAGGTAGAAGGATCTCTGTGAGTTTGGGGCCAGCCTGATCTACATCAAGTCTGTGTGGAAAGCAGTTCTCACACCCATCCCTCTGCTCCATAGGCCATCCTGTGTCTTAAACCTGATTTTCCTAACTGTGTCCCACCCTTAGAATTAGTCCCACACCCACACCCTGACACTGCATTGTCTAGTTCCAACCATTCACACCTACTGCCTAGGACAAAGTTCTGGGGATTGGCTTCCTTGCCAAGTGAGTCCCTCTCTGGGCATTAGGGGCCACTGGGTTTTCCTGGATGGCCCTCCACCCCACCTCAGCCCAGGCTCCACCTGTCACTGAACATCTTGGGAAGGGAGCTGCACTCACTGGCAGATGATGAGTGACACATGTACAGCAGGACCAGCAGCGCAGCTCGCATCTCTGCCATCCCCGGAGAGAGACGCAGTGAGCACCATGGGCAGCTGGGAAGACAGAAGACGCAAGACTCTATCACCTTCCCACGCCCCAAGGGGTGATTCCCTTTGTAGGAGCCCATTCCTTTTTACCACTGAAGCTTCCCGACTGGGCAAACTGACCTGTCACATCCCCAGCTCTGGGTTCTGTACAGACATAGGCGGGAAGTGGCTGTCTGGCTCCGATGCTCAGCTAGCAGTTTGAGAGCTGGCCCAAGGAGAGAGGGTAGTCTGCTTTTTCCAGTTTTCTTTTCAGGACAGCCTGGGGCCCTAGGTGTGCTAGAGAGTTGGTTCTCTAATAAGGGTTGGTTTTTGATTTGTGGAATTCAACCCTTGCTTTAACCGAATAGCCATAAAACACTGCTGAAAAGAAAAGAAAAAACAAACAAACAAACAAAAAAAAAAAAAAAAAAAAAAAAAAAAAACGAGGGTTTTGGTGGGAGCTCCCCCAGGGATTAGTGTCTTACTGTGACCTTATCCTATTAAAACTCACATCAAGTCTTGCTGGGATGTCTTCACTAGCAACGGTCTCAGCATTTAGCTCAGTTATTTAGCCCTAGACATAGGCACTCTCATAATCCCCATTTTACAGACTCAGAAACTGACACTCAGAGACACTGAGTAACAAGCCCAAGGTCACACAGCAACTAAGCAGTGAATCTGGAAAGTGAGATCAAAACTATATGAACCCCTAAGCCCATAGGGGCTTCACCACACATCCTGGCCTCAAACTGTGCACCATGACCTAAGGAAACTATGTGCACAGTTCTAGGTCACCATGTTCCCCTCATGACATGAGATGTTTCTTTTGTCCTCAGGATGGTGTGGCAAGTTCTTCTGTGAACTGTTCCCACCAAAGGAGAAACAAACTCACTGTGGCCTTATGCAGCAGAGCTCTACAGCGGAGTTTCTTCTACGCCTTGGGAAGAATGTTCCATTATGGCGTCATGGTTACCACGGTATCTGTCAGCAAACATTTGGACTTAAGAGAAACAGGATAAAATGTGTGTTATTACCTGGCCTTGATGAGGTTATCCTGGAAGAGGCCTTCTGGTCATGGCTAAGAAGATTCCCCCTTTGCGAGGCAACAAGGTCCTTGGTTAGGGCTACAGGCTACCTCCTGCTCAGCACCTGCCCTCCCTTAGACAAGTTGCCTGACAAGAGTGAGTATGTCTCCACTCCCTCACGTCTCCAGTCCCTCATACTGCCAGAATGGTCTCTTGGAGAGAGAGTTCGGTTTTCTTCCCGCATTCAGCTTGTGGGTCCATGCTAAAGTACTGGACAGGCTCTAGAAAACCATGTGGCCAGGTGGAATCTGCCCTCCAGCTGCTAAGAGCAGGCCTTGGTTTCATACAACAGCTAGGACTGGATGAGTGTTGACAACGTCATGGTAAAATATAACTCCGCAGAAACACAGAGGGCTAGCGGGCTGCCACCATGGGCTCTCAGAAGAGATTCACTTGGTGGATAATGGTGACCAAAGAGAGGAAGTTTGGGGAAATGCAATGTGGGTCCTAAGAAAGTAGTGGCTGTTTCCTACTGTCCTCTGGGCAATGGGTTTGGGCAGTGAGAGCCAATCTGTCTATTGTTTGATGTTGAAAGTCCCCATGACTTTCCTGTGCATTTTCTCATTCCCAACCTATAGCCTCCCTGGAAGAACAAAGGAAATGTTTCCCAGATAAGGACACAATGGCCCAGATTGCTCACTTCCCCAGAGTCACCCACCTGGGGATTGGCAGGGGAAGGGCGAACCCAGATACTTCCAGGCCGGAGGTGGCAAGCCATCTCCTGCCAGGCCATGATTGTTTTTTATCAGGGGCAGGAGCAGAGATCAGAACCCTGTGGGACAAAGCTATAACTGCTCTCGAGGAGGCGGGGACTGTTACGTGACCTTTTCTTGAGGAGTCTGTTTCTATTCACCCCAGATAGAGAACATAGGCACAGACAGAAGAAATGATTTCTAACCTGGTGAACCAGCGAGTTTACTGAAGTTCCTGGAAGGCGTATAGGTGAGGGGTTACTGTAAAACCATGAACTTTTATCAAAAACACACTTTTTACAAAAGTCCAATGCTTTTGAGAGGAATCTTATTGATTCCTCTTTATGTTTATGAAGCCACTTATCACCACCAAAGATGAGGAGTGTAGTGCCCGCTCTACAATCTGTTCCACTAATCAGGCAAAGGCCTAGAGATTTAAATAAAAGACGGTGGGTCATTCGTGCAACAAGAATGTCAGAGTGCTGAATGCCGTTTACTGAGGGGAAGGATCTGGCTTATATACTGACTCAAAGCACAGTGGAAAACAATCAATGGTCAAGCATTCAAGTGCTCCGGCTTAGTTTCTTCCCAGCAGATGTGTGTTAGCAAATCAAGAAGAGTACCAAGAACTACTCTGGTGCAAGATGTTCCAGCTAAAACTGCAGAATGTTCCAGCCAACAGGTCAGACTTGCTCAAGGTGCCTCAGGGGTCCATGCAGGGCCCTACAGAGGGGGTTGTTATTTCCTTCACTCTCCAGGATAACTGATAAAAGAAAATAATAATTGACTGGCCTTGCAAAATTCAGTGCCATGTTCTAACACTGCACACTTCCTCTGAGCCTGAACTACCCTCCTTAGGGTACTTCTCAGAGTAGGCAGTCATTTCACAAGTAAAATACCATTTTATTCACAAGAATAAAGCGAAAGACTCACTTTCACCTTCAAAGAAAAGACAGGTTTATTCAGCAGCCTCCAGCACTTAAAATGAGAATACACAGCATACTAGTTCAACTAACTCAAAAAAACAATTTGCATACTAAGCATTGTAAATGATTTGCAAAGAATGAAAAAATATGGTTATTATTAATGGCTTAATTAAAGTAGATGATACACTGATACTTAAATAACAAGTGTGTAGTAGATTGTTAGTTTGCCTTTGGAATTCAAGAGCTTGAAGTGTTTTGCAGAAATATTTCAAGATTTTTCTGGCTATTTACAATCCGATTTCCCCTGTTTCTCTGGCCTGGCAGCCTCCAGTCTACCCTGCACCTCTATGCATTTCCTACATTGAACATTCATCTAAACTGGATCATGTACTTGGCGGCCTTCTGCATCTGATTTCTTTTATGTGGCATGATGATTTCAAGGCTATCCATGCTACTGTGTTTATCATGTTTCATTCTGTTATAAGGCTGGCTAATATTACATATAAGTACATTACATGTGCTGATGGGCATACATGTAATATTGCCACCATCCATTCTCCTCTTATGAGAGGGCTGTTTCTATTTTGGGGATTCTGCGAATAATGCAACTATTCATATTTATCTGACTTAAGTTTGTTGGGCCTCTTGCCTATATTGAATAACATTTTCATCATGTCTGGGGATTTTCTGGCCATTGTTACCGTTACTATTTCTGCCCCCTTATCTCTCTCTTTTCATTGAACACATGTTGGTGCACTTTTGGGGTCCCAGTTCATTTGTCTTTGTTTCTCAGGCCTAATGATCTTGATTGATTGAAGTTAGCCAATCATGTCCCTCTCTGTTCTGGTCTGATACTGAAATGCTCTATGGAATTAGGGAGGGGTGGTTACTATGATTTTCAGCTCCAAAATTCCTATTTGCGTCCTTTTTTAATGTTCTAGCTCTTTGGCTATTTATTAATATTACCTATCTGTTCATTCATTGTTTCCATAATTTCCTTTTCTATATTTGGTTCTTTGAATATTCTAAAAATAGCTAGCTGTTCTGGGGACTGTAGCTCAGTGATTGAGCCTGGGTTCATCCTTAGCACCATGTGTAGGTCCCCTGCATGCAGACCATCCTTTCTTGGCTCTTCCTATGTCCTGTAATTCTTTGAAAGTAGAGGCAGGACTCAGACCAAATAAGACCCCTTAGAGCTGACTTTCCTGTGGGCTGGCTTGTTTTCTTTCTAGGCATTTTTGTGGTTCCTTTAAGACCTTGGTTTCCAGAGCTGGAAAATTGTAATCCTAATGATTTTTACTAGATTTTCCATTGGTTTTTATGGAAGGACAGACTTTTTAAGTTTTTTTTTTTTTTTAAATATTCTATGTAATCTTTTAATTTTTAAAAAAAAAATGTATTCTATGTGTGGACAAACTTTTAATCTTACCTGCCATTTGTACTAGTTTGGCTTACTCACACATTTACTTACATTGTGAAGGATATATATAGACGCCCCCTCCTCATTTAAGCAGTTCAGTGGTGTTAACATACTAGGGTTGGGCAACCATCACCAGTTTTTCTCTAGAACATTTTTTTCTGAAGCAAGATGTATGTGTGTACCTTACATAATAGTCCTAGAGGGCTGGCCCAGAGCTTTATGTAGACCAGGCTGGCCTCAAACTCATGGTGATCCTCCTGCCTCCGTCCCTTATGTTACTGTGTGCACCACCACACTGGCTGCAGAAGTTTTTCGTCTTTTTAAATGGAAAGCCACCTATCAAACTGTAACCCCTATCTTCTCTGTCAACAGGCACCCTTCTGTTTTACATTTTTAAGAATCTGGTTACTTGTGAACACACATATAAGTAGATCCCCACAGTATCTGTCCCTTTGTGTCTGACATTTCATTTAACATACTGTCTTTTCTGTTCATTTGTGTTGTGGCATATAGCAGAATTCACTCTTGATGTGTGTACTTGTGGGAGGGGGGCAGGTAGCTGAGGTTGACATCTGGAGTCTTCCTCCATCATTCTCCACAGTGTTAATGAAGCAGTCTCTCAGTCAAATGCAGAGACTACCAATGAGGCTAGTTTCCATAGTCAGCTTGCCCCAGGAATTTCTGCCTTCTGAGCCTGCAATTATATGTGGATCACCACAGCCATCAAACATTATGTGGGGTTTGGACCTCAAGTTTGCACTTCATCCACTGAGCCATCAACCTAGAGGCTTCATTCCTTTCTAAATATCACATTTTATCCATTCACCCTTGGGTGCACGTACAGGGTATTCCCATCCTTTGCCTATTATGAAGAATGCTGCTATGAATCCTAGTGTACAGCTCTCTCTCTCTCTCTGAAAATTTTGGATTTTAATTTTGTTAGATATGTACCTACCCAATTACAGCTCATTTGCCAACTTGCTTTTGAAGCAGAATCTTACAATTCCAGGATGATCTTAAGCTTCTGTGTAGCAGCGAATGACCTTGAACTAACTGTTAGACCCTAATTCTGGGGTCCTGATGGGCTGATGGGAGAGTCCTGCGACACAAACACCAAAACCAGGAGATGCAACAAGCAAGAGGTGTTTATTGAACCACTGCACTCAGGTGTCAGCATCTTGGGGAAAGCTGCACACCCCCCAAAGTGTTCAGGCTCCTTTTTATAGAGACAAGCCGCAAATCAGCATACATGCATGGGGCACAAGGTGATTGATTACAAAGTATGATCTCATGTTTGACAGGTTACCCAGGTATGACCTGTTTTTATTTAAGGGATAAACCATAGAATAACTTGGAAAGTCCCCAGATTGTCCATTGGCCAGGAGGGACCCAGACAGCCTGTTCATCTGGAATCATTTTTTCCAGGATTGGGGGCCTATTTCCTTGTTGTGGGCCAAGACCTGTGAGAAACTTTTTCATACTCTGGCTTTCTCTTGGCTGTACATTTAGAGCCTTCAGTTATTCCACAAAGGTTTGATGATTTAGTAACTAGCCCAATTTAACAAGAACTAGCCCCATCACCATAGTAACCTTTCTCATTCTCATAATTCCTGTTTTTTTCTCCCATGTCAACGTCCATTCTTTATGATTTTCTGTATTCTGCTTGCAAGAATTATTCTTCTGCCCCTTTCCTACATCCTTGCTCTGCAAACTAAAATCTTTCAGAACCCCTGATCCTACTGCTTCCACCTCCCAGGCACTGCCCCTTACCATATACATGCAGTGCTGGGGATTGAACCCAGGACTTTGTGTTCACTAGGCAGGAACCCTACCAACAGAGATCTATCCCTAGC